TTAACCATTTGAGTCCCAAGCAGCGCGATCGCGCTGCTGAGATTTTATGTCGAGAAAACATACGATTCGTTTGAGTCCCAGGGGGTATTGAAAAAACACTGTCGAAGAATCCCAAACAGCGCAACCGCACTTTCTCTAAATGAGTACGAAAAGACCCAAACAGCGTGATAGCGCTTGTTTTATTTTATGTCGAGAAATACCAAGCAGCGTGATTGCGCTGCTTGGGACTCAAACGGTTAAACAATGACTGGGTTACCAGGGAGATCCAAGAAGAAATAAAAAACATCATGATAACAAACGACAATGAAAGCACAACAATCCAAAACCTATGGAACACAGCGAAAGCAGTATTGAGAGGGAAGTTCATAGCTCTACAAGCCTAATGCAAGAAACAAGAAACAATGAGAATAAATTACCTAACTCTACAACTCAAAGAGTCAGAAAGAGAGCAACAAGAAAAGCCCAGTGTAAGCAGAAGGAAGGAAATAATAAAGATCAGAGCGGACATAAACGACATAGAGACAAAAAAAAAATACAAAAGATCAACTAAACCAAGAGCTGGTTCTTTGAAAGGATAAACAAGATTGATGAACCTCTAGCCAGGCTCACCAAGAAACAAAGAGAGAGGACCCAAATAAACAAAATCAGAAATGAAAGAGGAGAAATAACAACAGACCCCACAGAAATACAAAGGATTGTTAGAAAATACTATGAACAACTCTACTTCAACAAACTAGACAACCTGGAGGAAATGGACATATTCCTAGAAAAATACAACCTTCCAAAACTCAATCAGGAAAAATGTAAAAATCTCAATAGGCCAATAACTATGGAGGAAATTGAAGCACTAATCAAAAAGCTTCCAGCAAACAAAAGCCCAGGACCAGACGGCTTCAAAGGGGAGTTTTACCAAACATTCAAGGAAGACCTAAAACCTATCCTCCTCAGACTATGCCAAAAAATTCAAGAGGAAGGAACACTTCCAAGCTCATTCTATGAAGCCAGCATCACCCTAATACCAAAACCAGGTAAAGACAACACAATGAAAGAGAATTACAGGCCAATATCCCTCATGAACATAGATGCCAAAATCCTCAACAAAATCCTAGCAAATCAGATCCAGCAGTACATCAGAAAGATCATACACCATGACCAAGTAGGATTTATCCCAGGGATACAAGGATGGTATAATATCCGCAAGTCAATAAACGTAATAAATCACATAAACAAATTGAGAGAAAAAAAACACATAGTCATATCAATTGATGCAGAAAAAGCATGTGACAAAATCCAACACCCTTTCTTGATAAAAACTCTCAGAAAGATAGGAATAGAGGAATCATACCTCAACATTATAAAAGCCATATATGACAAACCCACAGCCAACATCATAATCAATGGGCAGAAACTAAAACCATTCCCCCTAAAAACAAGAAGACAGGGATGCCCCCTCTCACCACTCCTGTTCAACATAGTACTGGAAGTACTAGCCGTTGTGATCAGACAAGAAGAAATAAAAGGCATCCAAATTGGAAAAGAAGAAGTTACAAATTGGAAAAGAAGAAGTTAAACTGTCCTTATTTGCAGATGACATGATACTGTACATACAGATCCCTAAAGACTCCATCAAAAAATTACTAGACTTAATAAATGAATTTGGCAATGTAGCAGGATACAAAATTAATGCCAAGAATAGTGAACTTACAGAAAGTGAGACTAAAAAAGCAATCCCATTTACCATCGCACCAAAAAAATTAAGATACCTAGGAAAAAACTTAACTAAGGAGGTAAAAGACTTATATGCGAAAAACTACAGGACACTGAAAAAAGAGATAGAGGAAGACATAAACAGATGGAAGAACATACAGTGTTCATGGATTGGTAGAATTAACATCATCAAAATGTCCATACTACCCAAAGCAATCTATATATTCAATGCAATCCCCATTAAATTACCAACAGCATATTGCACAGATCTAGAATGAATTCTCCAAATATTCATCTGGAATAAAAAAAGACCTCGAATAGCTGCAGCAATCCTGAGAAAGAAGAACAAAGTAGGTGGGATCTCAATACCAGATATCAAACTGTATTACAAAGCCACTGTTCTTAAAACAGCTTGGTACTGGCACAAGAACAGACATATAGATCAATGGAATAGAATAGAGAACCCAGAAATCCACCCAAACCACTATGCCCAATTAATATTCGACAAAGGAGGCAAGAGCATACAATTGGGTCAAGACAGTCTCTTCAATAAATGGTGTTGGGAAAATTGGACAGATACATGCAAAAAGATGAAACTAGACCACCAACTCACACCATACACAAAAATAAACTCAAAATGGATAAAAGACTTAAACGTAAGACGGGAAACCATAAAAGTACTAGAGGAATCCACAGGCAACGAAATCGCAAACATATGCCAAAGGAATTTCTTCTCTGATAATGCTCCTAGGGCAATGGAAACTAAAGAGCAAATACACAAATGGGACTACCTCATAATAAAAAGCTTTTGCACAGCAAAGGAAACCATCAACAAAACAACAAGAAGACCCACTACATGGGAGAACATATTTGCCAATGATATCACCGATAAGGGTTTAACCTCTAACATTTACAGGGAACTCATGAAACTTAACAATAGGAAGATAAACAATCCAATAAAAAAATGGGAAACAGACCGAGATAGACACTTTTCGAAAGAGGACATACAGAAGGCTGAAAGACATATGCTCAAAGTCACTAATTATAGGAGAGATGCAAATCAAAACGACAATGCGGTATCATCTCACACCTGTCAGAATGGCTATCATCAACAAATCAACAAACAACAAGTGCTGGAGAGGATGTGGAGAAAAAGGAACCCTTCTGCACTGCTGGTGGGAATGCAGACTGGTGCAGCCACTGTGGAGAACAATATGGAGCTTCCTCAAAAAACTAAAAATGGAACTCCCATTTGATCCAGTGTTCCCACTTCTAGGAATATATCCCAAGAAAACAGAAACACCAATCAGAAAGGACATATGCACCCCTATGTTCATAGCAGCACAATTCACCATAGCTACGATTTGGAAACAGCCTAAGTGCCCATCAGCAGATGAGTGGATTAAAAAACTGTGGTACATCTACACAATGGAATACTATGCTGCAGTAAAAGAGAAGGAACTCTTGCCTTTTGCAACAGCATGGATGGAACTGGAGAGCATTATGCTAAGTGAAATAAGCCAGTCAGAGAAAGATAAATACCACATGATCTCACTCATTTGTGGATTATAGAGAACAACATAGACTGATGAACAGGGACAGATCCAAAGACAGAGAAATAGCGATCAGACTATCAATCCCCAGAAGGAAAGTAGGAGAGGGAGGGGGTAAGGGGAAGAGATCAACCGAAGGACTTGTATGCACGCATATAAGCCAAACCAATGGACATGGACAACAGGGGGATGAGAGCATGAGTGTGTGTGGGGGGGAGGTTTGGTTTTAATGGGGGGGATGAGGACACATTTGTAATACCTTAACTAATAAAGAATTATAAAAAAAATTATGAACAACAAAGTGACAACAAATACATATCTATCAACAAGTGAATCTAAAAATCAAGTAAATAAAAAATCTGAGGAGCAGAATAAACTGGTGACTACAATAGAATCAGGGGCATAGAAAGGGAGTGGACTGACAATTCCTGGGGGTAAGGGGGTGTGGGGGGTGCGCGGGGTGCAGGAAGAGACTGGACAAAAATCGTACACCTATGGATGAGGACAGTGCAGGGGGTTAAGGGCAGGGGGTGGGGTGAAAACCGGGTGGAGGGGAGCTATGGGGGGGGGGAGAGAAACAACTGTAATAATCTGAACAATAAAGATTTATTTTAAAAAAAGAAAATAAAAATGTTCTTTATATATATATGTCAAGGTTCACTGAAGAAAATTTAAAAATAAATGCTTTCCTTAGTATAATAAAAACATATGATTTAGAAGCAAATCATCTACAATTACCAAATATCAATTTTTCTTCACTGAGAATAAACAAATCAACAATATAACAATATGATGGTACATTACCAAACATAAATTCAAGCACATTATTTTTATTCATTACCCATTACTTAATTTAAATTGTAAAATTTTCATATATACATAGTCTAATTAAAACTCATTAATATCACCTTCGCTATGTTGAACTTTATCATAATTCAACTTTTTGGCAATAGTCAGAAAAGATGGACTCTCTCACAGAAATGAAACAGCTATAAAAAACTTAACCTCCTTTGCATTGTTCTCATTTTGCTAGTCTCTCCTAAAAATCAGAAGTAATAAACTGATAAAATGAGGTATGTTGCAATAATCAATTTTAAAAGTGATTTTCATTTCAAAAACTTAAAATTTAATTTCTCTTTAGTCAGGAAAGAAAAATTGTGGTACAAAGTCCAGGGAACAGAAGTGTATAGGGGAGTCATTAAGGATCTAGGAGAGGAAGCAGTAGAACATGCTTTAAAAAATAGAAAAGGAATAAGAAAATGTGTAGGAGATGACAAATAAAAGGAATTTATTAGTCTGGGTCTGGTCATTTCATACTCTTCACAAAGCAGAGAACAATTTAAAGTCATCATGCCCCTTAACAGGCAATGATCTGTCAAGATTTTAAAAGGCACTAAAAAAAGGCTTGACGTAGCTTTTAAAAATACATATAGGCAATAGTACAAATTGTGAAATGAGAGCAAGGAAAAATAAAAATAAATTTGGCAATGTAAATTTTATAAATCTTACTAAGATGGATAAAAACTTTTAAGAGTACTGAATGACTCATGTATTTAAACAGACTCTTTTTCCTTAACATCAAAATGAACAATCAGAATTTCAAAAAACATGAAAAATGCTTAAAGAAATGTTTATTATTATCTTTTCTCCTATTGTTTTACTTACAGGACTTCAAAGATACTGAAAATAATACATAATAAAAGATTAGTAATTTTATAGTCTTTTAGAATACTAATTTACCTGTAGACATCACTATTTTACATGACCCAGGACTGGGTTCCTTATATTCTATTCAACACCTCTGCCTCTGGTCAGCATCTTTATAGAAGTTGTAGATGTGGAACACATAACAGGAATAGATTTTTCCTGTTAAAAAATCAACAACAAAAAACGCAAGTATGCATTATTCTTTAAAAAACATTCCAAGGCAAGAAGGTCAGAAAAGCATTGACATAACTGGTCAACAAATGATCAGTTGCCAGAAGTCCTCAGAGTTGGAAACCCTTGTGTGTGTGTGTGTGTGTGTGTGTGTGTGTGTGTGTGTGTGTGTGTGTAACTGCAGTACTTTCACACTATGCTCTTCAGAGGGGCCCATGATCTGGTCAAGTGGGAGAAAAAGAGACCAGGAAGCTGAGATTCCCAGTGCTACCCCTGCTCCAACTGGTCACACCTTAGCCAAATAGTTCACTGTAAAACAGAGACCTATAATACAAATTAGTAGAAGACACAACTAACCTTTTTTGGGACTTTCTTCTTTGGTGTGACATTTTTAGCAGAACTTTCTTTCTTGGGGGCTGGAGTACGTACAGGTGGTTTAGCCCGTCCTGACTTCCTGGTCTGTTGTGTTGCAGTTTTCTTTGCAGACTGCATTGACTGCTGGGTTGCTTTGGAAAGGGAAGACTGTCTTTTACCTGTATTCTTTGTAATAACTGAATGGGGGAAAACACAACACAAAAATAAAATTAAAGTAAATGACATAATTAAGGTATTGTCTTTTTACTACTCAAAATAAATATAAATTAATCTTTAACAACATTCCAAAAGTTAATCATTGAAAACCACTTAAAATAAAGGAATGATTTAAAATGAAGTTTTAGGTATTTAGGATTTCTTATTATCAGGAAATAATCTAATTCTCCAGAAAAAAGTAAAGAGGCTTTTATAAGAGCAGCCAATAACTTTAAATTTAGTGCACTAAAAATTTCTATTTACCTTTTGTCTGCTTCTCATATTTTTAGCCCTTTGCATAGAGAAGAGTTCCTCCTTCATTACCATGCAATTATGCTAATAATTATGCTATATGCAGGAATCATTTTGTCCATCAATGCAGAAAAACATAAAGCAGCTACCAATAGCTCCTGCTTTATCTTTCAGAGGCCAGGGAAGTCCCCTGCACTTGATTTTTAACGGCTAAGGCACATTATCTTCTTATATGTATGTCTAATAACAAAGCTTCATATACTACAATATAGATGCCACATTAACATTGTCATAGAAGGACCACTATCAAGCCCAAGTGATTTATATCTACTAGCCCAACCCAAACTGTTTTAATATTTCAAAGAGCCATTACCTGCCATGTTATTTTAGTCTATGTTCACAATTAAATAAATATTTTTAGTATTATACCCTAATAACTTCATTACAAAAAAATGAATGTTACACACAATAAGAAGTACTAATGTCAAACAAAATTTTTCACAGGATGAGTTATATAAATAAAACATTTATACATCTATGCAATAATCAACTACTTTTATTTTGAGAGCTTCATTTTACAACTTGAAACAAATCTAACTACTTTGCTCCTCCCATATTCAAGGCCTAAGTATAGATATGACTGACCTTCAATGAAGAATACCACATCTTCCCTGCAGCCTTTTTATCTACCTTCTATCACCTACCATGTCAAAGAGATGGAAAATTCTTCTCTCAGGGGCCAGAGCAAATGGTGAACCACTTAATTGTCACCATCATTCCCCCCTATCCCCATTTAGAGTAATTCATCTACTTACAACATTCTCTTCTTCCTTCCTTACCAACATATACCTCATGCTCCACTCTCACTTCCACTTTCTTTAATAACTGCAGTAATCAAATTCACATTATTTCCTCGTACAGTCTCCCTGTCATCATCTTCAGGAATCTAATCATCATATTTCTCACACTTCATCATCCTGACCTCATCATTGGATATTTCATCTCCTCCCTAAAATGTTTATACTTAGTAATTTCTGGAACTCTTCTATCTCCAAGATAACCAACTGTGCCCAATTTCTATATCCTTACTTATCATCTTTGCTTCATACCAACTGACCATGCTTTTATCTTTTATTCCTTTTTTATCCTCATTGGAGGATATGTTTATTTATTTTAGACAGAGAGGAATGGGGGGGGGGAGAGAGAGAGAGAGAGAGAGAGAGAGAGAGAGAGAAACATCTACTGGTTGCCTCTTATATACACCCTGAGACTGGAGACTGAACCAGCAGCCTTTTGGCATTCAGGACAATGCCCCAACCAACTGAACCACCCAGCCAGGGACTAACCATGATTTTCATTCTCTTTGAGATATAGCCACAAGTCCTGTCAATTTCAGCCCTATCTATTAGCTTTCTTCTGGCTTTACTTTACTCCCTATCAACCTGCACCCAACTATCCACATCCATCAACACCCTCTAATTAGTATCATTTACTTTATTACCCCTTAATCTCTGACCACATCCAGCATGTCAGCTCCAACCTCTAATCACACTAGCATTTGTTTTCTGTGGGCCTGAGCTATACAAGGGTCAACAATCTTCTTCTGTAAAGGGCCAGATAGTAAATATTTTAGGCTATAAAGGCCATATACAGTCTCTGTTACATATTCTTTTTCATTTCTTTATTCGTTTGCTTGTCTTTTTAAACCCTTAATGAATATAAAAACCATTCTTAGCTCACAGGCTACATGGGCTGGAAGTGGCCCTTGGGTTGTAATTTGCCAGCTCCTGCTTTAGAACATTAGAATATCACTGATGGCTATAAAATCCACACTACTGGGGATCAAGCATGCAAACCAAGGCATGTGCCCTCACTGGGAATCGAATGGTGACCTCATGGTTCATAGGTCAATGCTCAACCATTGAGCCACACCCACTGGGCTAAATCTTTACTTCTTGACAACCTATTCATCCCCACAGTTCTGGTCCAAGTTGACTGAGCAGAACATAATCACAAAAGCATCTCTGCTGCGTAAGCAGTTGACTATCAGAGACATGTACATAGTATTCCATTCATAGTAGCCGGGGCACTCTCTGTCCTGGTCAGACACTGCCCACACCTCAATCTTGCCTTGCACAGGTCTCTGCCTATCACTTTTCCTTTTATCATCACATACTCTACAATACTGCTTTTTCACCTTCTCACTTTCCTACTATGCCCAAAACAAGCATTAAAGTCCTTTTTAAGCCCCCCTTCATTTAAAAAAGATTTGTTTTTCAAATAATCATTATAAGGGAAAGGATGGAAAACACTAGAAAAGTTACAAAGAAAAACAAGGTCTCTAATTTTTAGTAGTAGCTGTACCAGTTTTTATGGAAATGAGACTTGCCTTTTCATCTTTTAATCCTCTGGGACCTTGCACCAAGTTATCTATTCTAACCTGCATAGTTCCCTGCTCATTTACTAAGCAGAGATGGTTTGGTCAATATGGTCAGAGTCCAATAGTAGGAATAAGTCCAGCTTGTTACTACCTAAGCTCCTCCATCGTCCTTTCTGAGTCTCCATGATGACCTATGTAGGTTTCCCTCTCAATACCAAGAACCACAGTTTTACAGAATTAAAAATACCTCAAGCAGATAATAAAAGGTAACTCCCACACAGAAATAAATAACTCATTCACTTGAAAAAGTAAAGATCTGCTTTTGGGGTCTCATAGAACATCCCAATTTGGGAAGTGGTGCATGTCTTTTCCAGCAGCTTTAAAAAGATGGTATCTGGACAACTAAACCAAAATCAAATATACTGAAAGGATCTGAAGCTTCAATGCACTCCCCTCTCCCCCTTTTCAAAACAGGGCATGGTGAGCTAAAATAAACAGATTTTTAAAAAGAGAGAGAAAAACTCTTCATACACCTTATAACACATACCTTAATTTGAATAGAATAGTCTATCTTAAGGTTATTGAAAAGTTGTAAAAATGTTACAGGAAAGAAATTCCCAAACACAATTAAAAGGTTAAAGGATAACTCTCTAACTTAAAATACAAAAGCCCAGCTAAGCTGTTTATCTCCATACCTAAATGTGCCTCTTGGCATACATGCTAAATTAAAATAAGAAAATCGAATTTAGTGGAAGTTACATGGTTTTCTTATCCAGTTATATAATTATATCTCATAAGTATTCAACCTAGAAAGGAAATCATAAAAATGCAGAAACAAGCTAGAAATCACAGTTAGAATTTAGAAGGGCTTTAATTTAAGAGTGTTTTTAAAATATACTTGTTTTCTACTTGCCAATAATAGATGCTTTGTACACTACTCCCTTCAGCTTCATGAGTATGCTTCCCATGAAGACCTTTTTTTTTTTTTTTTTTTTTTTTTTACAATTCCTCTTCATAACTGCTCACTTCAAAAGAACCAAGATTTTGGTCACAATAATATTATTGAAGAAGATTACCATTTCTAAAACTTTTAATATTTTAAGAAAAAATGTTCACATGAAAAGAAGTAACTTCAGTTGTTTCAGGTCAATTTCTATCACCTAAGCCTTTAAAATCCATTCAATTTTTAAACCACAACATTTTTTCTTATTGAATGACTTCTATAGAGTGATTTCCATAATACTATTAAAAACAATCACAGCAATCACTGCTATACTTTCCACAAAACACATTAAATGTATTGACACAATATTTACTTGGTAAAATATGGTATCCACATTACTGTATCATAAACATACTTTTACTAAGTCTCATGTATTATCAGTGAAAATTATGTTATATTACTCAAAGCTACAGAAAAAAATTGCCAACACTTTTCATTACAAACTGTAGATTTAAATGATCAAATCTAACTTACAATCGGGTTGTTCCTTTTTTACTTAAACAATTTTTGTGGTTGAAATAATCAAACTGACTTTTCCCTTGTATCATAAAACAATTTTTTAAAAGTGACTAATCAAATAATAGTGCTAAAACTTAATAAGTGATATTTAGAATAAAACAGGGTCTTTGAGATCACAGAAATGACTGGGATGTTTAATGCACAAAAGCTAACAATGCAGACAATGAATTTCTTTAACCACACTTCAACTACAATATAAGGAAACTTTGAGGGTAATCCCACCTTTGGAAATAATCCAGAGAAACAAATTGTTGCTGCACTTACCATAAAGGTGATTTAGGTTCTACTCATGGGTCTCCTCCTTTATCAGGAATAAAACTGCCTTTCTGAAGAAAGCAAGTCAACAACAAAGCCCATGTTGCCTGAGCAAGCCTGAATTTCTAGCAAATGGGGATGAAGCTATTTGCATTTGTTGGTTTAAGGGGGTGGGAGTGGGAGGAGGGGACTAAGAGGACTGCTAAAGTAATTCACATATTGTCTGTGGACCCTATAGGCAGTGATCATCAGTCACCTGTTCAAACTTCCTTCACTACTGCCTTCACAGAGGAACCAAAGGTGACACCCTGGGTCAGAGAATTTGGAAAGAAATGAGAAGACATGCAAAATCTAACTGCAAACCCATTGCCTCTGTAGACAAAGTTATCCCCACTGGACCACATGTCTTAAAAACCAGGACATTTTAATAGTCTCAAGAGAACTTGTTAGAATATATTATAGAATAGAAACAAGAAAGAAGCTCCGTGTTCTGCTTGCAATTATTGAAATATTTAGCTGAAACGCTTAAAACAGAAAAAGGGCATTTGTTTTCTTAAGATACTTGTTTGCAT